TAGTAGACTCACGTCCTACACGTGATTATTGAGTAGTATCCACAGAAGGATCCATAGGAGGGGGGATATGTGGCAATGTAGACATAGGTGGAGGAATATGTGGTTGTGGAGTAGGAGCCACAGGAGGGGGGATATGTGGTAATGTAGACATAGGTGGAGGAATGTGTGGTTGTGGAGTAGGAGCCACAGGAGGGGGGATATGTGGCAATGTAGACATAGGTGGTGGAATGTGTGGTTGTGGACTAGGATCCACAGGAGGGGGGATATGTGGCAATGTAGATATAGGTGGTGGAATAGTTTGTGGTGTAGGAGCCATAGAAGGGGGAATAGGTTGTGGAGTCGGAGCTATAGAAGGGGAAATATGTGGCAATGTAGACATAGATGGTGGAATAGATTGTTGAGTGGAAGGCATAAGAGGAGGAATGTGTTTTTTTCTTTTTTCTTTTTAAACATTTGGCTTTAGGAGACATGATTATTTAAACTAAAGAACAATATAAACAACTGCAATATAAAATAAATAAGAGAAGTTATATTATAACAATACAATTACAACAATATTTGGAATAGAACAATAATATATATGTATGATTTAAAATAAATAGAAAAACATGATTTATGAATATGATATTTCTCAACTATTCAAACATATTTGTATTTCCTTGAAGAGAATTTTCAACATGACTTAAAATAAAAAAATAATTATCTACATCATCCCTTCCTAATGTTATTATCTCTTATTCATTTGTAAATATATTGCTTAAATCTTGCTCATGGAATGATTCACTTTCAAGTGTAATATCTTCTCCAACTTCTCCCATATCATACAAATCCCTTGGCATCATATGAACTACAACACTCCAACCTTTATTTACTTCATCATCAACATAATACATCATTTGTGCTTGTGAAGCTTCAATATATGGGTCATGCTCTTCATGTTCACCTGTGTGAATACACTGAGAAAAATTTACTGAAGTAAATTGCCAAGCATCCTTTCTAAATCTTCTTGAACGTGTAGTATCTGCCCACTTGCATCTAAAAAGGACAACTCTAAGAAAATTGTAATAGTTAAGTTCAATTATGTCTTCTAACTTCCCATAATATGGCAAATTTGCTCGTCTCAAATTTCCATCAGCATTGCTTGCAACACATGATGTGTTTGAAGTTAGAAAAATCCCACTATTTTGTGTTTTTAAACCTTCATCTCGTCCAATGGTTCTAAACTTGTACCCATTAATGTTATATGCAGTGTATCTTTTTGCAATTGTCATTGGCCCTTTAGCCAAATACTTTATTTCATCCGGAATGACATCCGTAATTTCTGGATTTGTAACCTAAATATAAAATATTGTTAGTCATAAATATAAATTATAAATAATTTTTAAGCGAGTATATGTTTAAACTTACTCGTTGACGAAACCAATTTTCAAATTCTTTACTAACTATCTTTTCTAACTCTGTATTTGAAAGTCTTTGATTTCTTGTCTTTCTCTTTGTGAATGTTTTAAATTCACTACCACAAGAATATAATGTTAAATTTAATTCATGATAAGAATATTACTTTCACCATATATGAGATATCTAAATACTTACTCAACGTATGGTTGGACTTGTGAACAATTTAGAAGCAAATACCGATGTGCTTGTATTTTTTCTAATGGTGTAAGAGTGAAAGTTGATGAACTTCCCACTGGTCTACCTATTTGAGGATCAATGATTTGAAAATTTTCACTATCATTAGGACGGTCATCTAAGCGTCGACTTCTATTCAACTTTGACTCAACTTCTTCATATAATGAGTAAAAATTTAGAGTCTCTTCAGCCAAATAAATTTCACTTATAGATCCTTCAGGTTGTGCTCTATTCCGTATAAAAGACTTCAAATGTCCTAACATCCTATAAAAAATAAAACAATCATTAATATCTTCTTCAAAATAAGTGAGTTAAACATAATTACAAACATTTACCTCTCAATTGGATACATCCAACAATAATAGACAAGTCCTCCTAGTTTCACTTCTTTAACAAGATGAAAAGTTAAATGGACCATCACAATGAAAAATGATGGAGGCAAAAGGATTTCCAAATGGCAAAGAGTACGCACAATTCGATGTTGTAGTTTGTTAAGATCTGAGACATTCAGTCTTTTACAACATAATTCCTTAAAAAATGAGCAAAACTCTACCAACACTACAATCACATGATCAGGTAAAACATTACGTATAACTATTGAAAGTAAATGTTGCATAAGGATGTGACAATCATGACTCTTGAGTCCAAATATCCTAGAGTTTTCATCATCAATGCAACGAGATATGTTACTTGAGTAACCATCTGACATTTTTACATTATTTAATGTGGTGAGAAATATCTTTCTTTGATCTCTTGTCATTGTAAATAATAAGGGAATATATTTTCCATTTTCATCTGGCCAAAGATCTTCCTTTATCCCCATATCTTGTAAATCTTGACGAGCTTGTAGATGATCTTTTGATTTTTCTCCTTTGAGCATAGTATACAACACATTATCACACACATTATTTTCAATATGCATGACATCAAGGTTATATCATAAAAGATTATCCCTCCAATAAGGAAGATTGAAGAATATTCTTTTTTTCTTCCATTGGTTCCCTTTACTATTTGACTGAAGATTATTATCAAAGGTTATGGCACCAAGTTGTTTCATGATTTCTAACCCAGATAATGATTTTGGTGCTCCTCTTTCCTCAATTGTTCCATCAAAGTGTTTCTTCATCAATCTAAATTTATGACTCCTTTCTAAAAATCTTCGATGACCCATGAACCACCATTTATTACTACGTCTTAGTTGACAAGGTGTTGTATCAAAATTACAAGTTGGGCAAGCATAACCAGTATAAGTATTCCACCCAGATAAAGTACAAAGTCCAGGAAAATCACTAATTGTCCACATGAGAGCCACTCGCATTATGAACACTTCTTTCAAAAAAGCATCATACGTTTTTGCACCTTCTGTCCATAACTCATTCGACTCTTTCACTAGAGGTTGTAGATACACATCTATCTTGTTCCCTGACATTTTTTTTCCTAGGATGATCATAGAAAGAATAAAAGAAGATTGCTTCATGCACTCCCAAGGAGGTCGATTGTATGAAATTAGAATCACTGGCCATATACTATGACTATTATTCATGGTTCGATATGGATTGAAGCCATCAGTTGCAAGGCTAAGAGGAACATTTCTAGTTTCTAAAGCAAACTCAGGGTGAAGTTGATCAAAATTCTTCCATGCTTTAGCATCTCTTGGATGCCTCAATAGTCCATCCTGGTTATTGTTTAAAACATGCCATCTCATAGACTTCGCTATTTTTGGACACATAAATAATCTTTGCAGCCTTGGTTTCAAGGGGAAGTATCATAAGACCTTTGTTGGTATTTTCTTTTTGCTACTAGTATCCTTTTCTTTCCATCTAGATTTCTTACAATATTTACAACTCTCCAATTTTTCATCTTCTCCCCAATACAACATGCAAGTTTTTTGGCAAACATCTATCTTGGTATAATTAAGACCAAGCTTATAAATCACCTTCTTTGCCTCATAAAATGAAGTAGGAAATTTTGCATATGAAAATGCATCTGCCAATAACACTAAAATCATTGTCATAGCCTTATTAGTCATACCACACAAACATTTTATATGATACAACCTTAATAGAAAAGACAACATCAAAAACTTTTTGCACCCTTCATATAACTTTTGGTTGCAATCTCTAAGCAAATCATCATACTCTTCACATTCTTCATTGGGCATGGTTTCTAAAAACTCAACTTGTTCTTCACACATGTTAGACTCTACATCATGTTGTCTATTCCTCCCAAATGCATCATTTATCATATCTATCATTGGATTTCCATTTTGTAATGACACATTTACTACTTCATTGTCCCATGATGCTATTGTTTCATATGTCTCCCCGTGCCAAATCCAGACTTTATAATTTGTTGGAAATTGCTTGCAAATTAAATGGTCAAACACACCTTCTCTAGTTTCCCATTTGTCATAGTGACATTTAGGACATGGACAAATTATTGCACCATTGACAGATCAATTCTCAAATGCAAAATCTAAAAATCTATTCAGCCCATCCAAATATTCAATTGTATTCCGTGGCATATCAATCCATGATTTATCCATTTTTATATTTGTCCAACGAAGTAAGAAATAATTAAGTTGCAAAAATATTTTATATATCCTTTATGTACATAAACCAAGGTATAGAAGATACATTAATACTCCTAAAAGTCAGGAGTTTTCAGCTATGTCGTACTCTCAAATCCACAAAGGATATTGTCATAAACTATTTTTACACATAAGGTTAAGGTTCTAAGGTTAAATTATTTGTCATAAATTACGTTCAATTTTTACAGTTTTTATAACTGCTAAAAATAAACTTCTAATAATTACAATAATTTTTATAGTGTGAGTTGCACGTCAACACATTACTTTGCAACAGTAACAAATATAAACTGTGGAATGCAAATAACAGGGTATGTAAGTTATCCAACCAGATATCAATTTGTAAATTTATTCTATATTTCATCACACTTAGGCATGGATCAAGTCAAGAACAATTCAATACCAAAATGGAAAGCACCAACTTATATATCTCTATGTCGCTTATTAGTTGGTAAAATTAAACCATAGACCAATTCAATACCAACTTGTACATTCTTGAAACTGTTGATTTAAAATGACAGAAATATGTTACTTTATATAAGCATGAATGCTATGTTTTGGATCTTACCTAGTAGGATCAATCACATTATTTAGAAGGAAAACAGAGATAATCAAAATTGAAACCTTAAACCCTAAATTAATCAAAATAAAATGATACCTCAAAATTGAATCCAAATGAAGGGACAATGATTGAAATATGGAGTAAAATAGGAATGTGATGATGATATTAGGGGCTGGAAACAAACTTTCAGAGTGCTCGTCGATCCTGTGTGTAGCTAACAGTGGAGGGGGACGGGAAGCGGATGCTGAGGGGCACGCGGAGAGGATGCGGAGGGGCACGTGGAGGAGATGCAGAGGCCAACGCAGAGGAGATACGGAGAATACGTGGAGTGAGAAAATAGTCGTTACATGTAACTCTCAACTCTCTGATACTTTTTGAACCATTCTCTCTCACAGACGCACACTCACTAACTATGAAAAATGTAAAAATCAAGATGCACTCTAATTAAAATTAAAATTGTAACGGTTTATTAAAATTGTAATAATTTTATTAAAATTGTATAAATTGTAGCGGTTTATTAAAATTGTTAAAAATAAACCTTTACTAAATAATATTTTATTTGTAGTGAACATAAAAGTATTTACTAACCTTCAACCATTGTTCTAGAGAAAAACTTTACTAAAACGCTTATTAGTTTCCAAATCTTAACTCCCTAGAACTAATGGTAAGATATATTCAAAAAGAGAGTAAATTTGGTGATCTTGAAGCACTGAGCATATGCGGTCTTTATAGAGCATTGGCCATCATAGAATTCTAAACTATAACCAAAAGATCTATAAAATTGTCAGATAATGGGTTTCTAAAAATGGAGCACTTTACGCAAATTGTGGGATAACCGCTAGATCATGGATAGATCATGGGATAACCACCAGATTATGGGATGGTGGGATGGATCGTTTAACATTCTCCCACTTGGTACATTTATTCCATTATCAATATTAAGAGAAACTAAATATATGAATCATGGTGACAGGTCCTTTAATAATGAGCATTATCTCCCATGTATCACAATATATGAAGTCTCTCATAAAATGTTCTTTAACATTAATGAATAAACCTTATGTTTATTCTTGGTAAAACTAATGATATTTCTCAAAAATAAACAAATATGTGCACAAATAAAAGAGAAATGATCAAACTGAACGAGATTTTTATAAAATTACTAAGTCCCATTTTTCTTACATGATCCTTAAAATTCTTTAGTGGCATGTGATGACAACTCATTTGTTAGTGTTTCTCCTAATTAATAAAGTAGAATTAGATTCTTTTAGATTCTTATTCTATTATATTAGATTAGATTTGTAGTTTTAGGAAAAAATATGCAAAATCACAAAAATATACTAATTTTTGTATTTTAACATAGCTTTCTATATTACTTCCGACTTCTTCACTAACCAGTTTTGACCTTTTTCTCTTCTTTGATTTATATCGTTTTTTACAGAACTCTAATTGGGTTGATTCGTTTTGCATTGGAAACTAGATATCTTAAGCTTCAATTGGAACACAAATTTAACTATTTTTGGAGCTCGAGCTATTTTTAATAAATCGAGAGAAGATGGTGACACGAAATTGAAGATCTTGTTGCGGAAGTGATACAAAAATTAACTATAGTTAGATTTAGGATACACTTGTAATTAGTTTTAATCATGGTTTAGTTAGTTTTAACTCTAGTTAACTCACATTTGAACTTATAAATAAGTCATTTTCGTGTCATGGTAACACACACCAAATTCTATTCTTCAATTGATGTGAAGCTAGTTCAAGTTCTTTTAATTTTGATTCTTTCTCTTGCTCTATCTTTAGTTTTCAATTTAGTTTTTTTTTTGTATCTTTAGTTTCCACTTTTTTTTCTTTGTTTAGTACTCTTCTTGCTTTACTTTAGTTCTTCTTTTAATTTAATTTCGTTTTACATTTGTTTAACACAAATTTCTACTTCAATTCATCACATAATCATAGTTTGTTCACAATGTTGTTTCCAGTTTTATTCTTCTTCATTGTTTTCAATTTTTACATTTTTTGGCAGTGAGTTGAGCGTGATTCTTGTTGTTTTTCAAGCCTTAGTCAATTCCTTATTCATTAAGGAGAAGAATGACAACTCATTAGTCAATTTCACAAAGTTTTCATGTGTTGTTTTGTTATTCATATTGTTTTGACACTGTTTTACCATTTTAATTTTGTTTTTGTTTTTTGGCTTAATTTCTCCAATTTGATTGGTTAGAAAGTTGTTCTTAGATGTTGTTTCAAGTTCTTTTACTATGTTTTAGAATTCAATGGGTTAAAATTCATTTTAGGAGCATTTTCTGCTCAGTTTGTGTTGGGAATAATACTTTATTATCTTTTATTTAAATTAGGTATTAAGATATTTTATTATCTTTTAAGAGAGAAGGTAAAAAAATATGAGGTTATTATTTTGATTTAGTCAATTATGATTAAGATATTATTAATATTTGATATTTTATAATATTTTTACTCTATATATACATAGAGTACATGAATAAAAAATTTCATCACATGATATATCAAAAATACACATACACAAAACCCTAAAAATTTCCATCAGTGGTATCAGAGCTTTGGTTCGATACAATGGAAGGAGAAAGAAATTTTTCACAAATCGTTATTCCAATTTTTTATGGTGAAAGTTATAACTTATGGGTTGTGAGAATGCAATCCTATCTTGAAGGATTAGATTACGAGAAGTTGTGGAAGAAGATTATATTGTTGATCCGCTACCTGAAAATCCCACCATAACTTAAATGAAATTTTACAGAGAAAGTAAAACAAGAAAGGCAAAAACTAAATTATGTTTGTTTGTTGGTGTTTCACAAATGATCCTCACCAGAATCATGATGCTAAAGTCACCCAAAAAAATTTGGGATTATTTGAAAGATCAATATGAAGGGGACGAGAAAATTCGAGATATGAAAGTTCTAAACTTGATAAGGTAATTTAAGATACAAAGGATGCAAGAGTCTGAAACAATTAATGAATACTCAAATAAATTATTGGGTATTGCTAACAAAATAAAATTGTTAGGTAAGAAATTTCCTGATTCCAGAATAGTTGAGAAAATTATGGTAATTGTGCCAGAGAGATATGAAGCATCTATTACGTTATTAGAAAACACAAAGGATTTGTCTAATATTACATTGGCAGAAGTGTTACATGCTTTACAAGTTGTTAAGTGATAAAAAGTTGATATAATTATGCCTTGAATTGTTATGAAACCACTTAACTTATGTTAATTATAATATATTTTTTTCCCAATATAGGATGAATTCGAGAATACCTTGATACAAGAGTAAGGAGCACAATTGTCATCATAATTGGAGTAAAATTAAAAGAAAAAAGAACGCTTAAGCGAATGAAAGATGCGAGGTCTGGCCCAAATTCTCTTATAAAAAGATAAGTTGTGTTTTGAGAGAAGAAAGCAGTCTTGGAGAAGAGGAGGCACGACTACTGTTAGGGTTTCGTCTAATCTTCATCAATTCTTCACTTCTTCATCAATTGGAGCATTGTAATGGCCAACATGAGTGGCTAACTTCATTCTCTTAGGATTCGATGCACTTCCTTTGAACTCTTTTGTATCATGGTGATATTTTGAGATATTAATCTATGGTTTGATGTTGTTATTCTTATCATTTATGCTTTGGAATGATTTATTCTTGATGTTTGGGGTATGATTGGAAAATATATCTTGAACCCTAGATCACGGTAAGAATATTTGTTATGTTAATTTCCAGGAATGGAATGAATGTATCAATTGCTTAACACCCTAACCCTAATGCTGGAAAATCTCTTAATTGTGTGAGGAATCAACATTTATTAGGTTTTCTTATGAATTTCATGTGTGAGGAATCAACATGGATGGTTTGAGTAGGTGGCATCAACATTTTTAGGTTAATTGACGTTCTTAATTGACATAGCCATTACAAAAGAGGGATAAGGAAGGAATTCAATCCTAAGTACCTTTAATAGATATTTTCTTAACAATTTACAGTTCTTTGTCATTTAATTTCAATTCAACTCTTATTACAAAAACCAATCTGTTTTAATCTACTTAGTAAGCATAATTGGGAATTTCCATTAAAACTGTTAATCGTGGGATCGACTTTTATAATTTTTGTATGCTTGCCAATAATTCAACACAAGTGCAAGAGCAACGAAGATTGATGAGAAGAGATCATGTTGCTAGTGAAGGTTCTTTACTATATCATGGTGAATGTTTTCTCCAAGGCAAGAACAACAAAGTTACCAAATCATAAGTATTTTTTGTCTGTCCTTATTGCAAGAAAAATAATCAAACACCCAAAAAGTGTTGGTGGAGGCCTGATGTGATCGCAAATGTGGTTAATTTGGACATATAGAAAAGATATGAAAATCACAACCAGAAGAAGTCATCAAGGTTTTAGAGGATGGAGTAGAAAGGGAACTTCTCCTTGCATCAACATGTTCTACAATCAACAAATCCACAGGTTGGCTTATAAATAGTGGTTGTATAAACCACATGACTCGTGATCGGCAACTTTTCAAAGAGCTCAATGAATCACATATTTCTAAAGTGAGAATTAGTAATGAAGAATAAATGGATGTGAAAGGTACGGGAACAATTACAGTTAAAAGTCATTCGAGTATCAAATTAATTCTTGATGTTTTATATGTTCTTGATATTAATCATACTTTGTTAAGTGTTGCTCAATTATTGGAGAAAATTTATAAGGTGTCTTTTGAACACAAACTTTATGTGACTGAAGATACAAATAACTTGAAAATATTCAAAGTTCACATGAAAGGAAAAAGTTTCACTTTAGATTTGATGAAAGAAGAGTTTATTACAAACGAGGATATAAAAGAAAAGTTAAAGAAAAAGCATGAAGAATATTTCTTGAAGGAACTTGATGTTAAGGAGGATAATAAAGATGTAAATGAAGAAATTGTTTCCAACGTTCATCAAAGAATCAATGGTACTACCATGAAGTTTGAAGGAAACAAAGGAGATGAAGTTGATAAAGGAAGAAATACTTTGATGAAAAAAGTGAACTTGAATGAAGATGTAATCTCGTACAAGAAGAAAGATGACAAGAAATACAAATAAAAAATGAGAAAACATTCCAAACAAAATCAAAGGAAGAATATCAAATTCAAATAAATAGATATTAAAGTAAGGAGAAATGTTGAGAATATTACTTTATTATCTTTTATTTAAATTAGGTATTAAGATATTTTATTATCTTTTTAGAGAGAAGGTAAAAAGATATTAGATTATTATTTTGATTTAAGCGGTTATAATTGAGATATTATTAATATTTGATATTTTATAATATTTTTACTCTATATATACATAGAGTACATGAATAAAAATATCCCCACATGATATATCAGAAATACACATACACAAAACCCTAAAAAT